ATATATTGGACAAAATAACTTCATGGTTTATATTGTTTTTGGTAATTGGTTGAACATGGCAGTTGGCAAAATGATGTTTTTGTGGTAGCTGAACCTGGAGAGCTTGCTGATAGATTTCTACAGAGTGTTAAGTTGAGTTTATCCTCTATGACAAGATCTAGAAACAGGAAATATGCTTCTGCGATCACAAAGATTTCTACTGTGTCTGATTTAGTAGCTCACAGTCCTTATTTTCAAGTGGGAAATATACTCCACCGGTATATGGGGCGTCAGACACAAGTATGTTACCTCTCAAAATTTTTTCCTTCTTTTCCTATTGGGACATATATGATATGTCAATGGGCTATGGCCAAAATGCAGTCCATATGGCAATCAACATCCCTTAAAATGATGGAAGGTGATGAGACAAGTGGGACTGACCAGAACAGGACATGATCGCAGTTTTGGTCCCCACCCTCTCCCCATCTCTGTCTGTCATCTCAAAGATTATTATGACTAATTGGACTATGGTTTTTCCAGTGTGTGTTGGAATATATTAACAAAAAAGCTTTTGTATCTCTGCCCTTAGTTTATTGTAATGCATGATACGTATAATGGTTATGATGTCACAAAGGTCATAGAGGACGACCAAGAAATTTCAGCTTACATGTTTCGGACGACAGTCCCTGCTATACATTTGACTCCTGATGATGTTCGTTGGATGGTGAGTAAACCCTGATACTTCATTCTCCTTTTCTAACTTTATGACATCCGCTGTTTTATGTACTTGACAAATGATGTACAACTCTTTTACATCTAGTGCTGAATCCACATTTGGTGGCTGATAGGCTATTCTAGGTTAGGTTGTACATCAATCCCTCTTAAAATATATACAAGGACATTTCCAGAGGCCTGAAGAAATTTAGGCCTTTAGGGTTAGAAATGCAGAGGAAATTTCAAGTTGAAAAATCCCAAAGATGCTAATTGAATTTTTGAAAAAATCTGAAGAAAGCAATTTTGTTTATCAAGCTTCTAGAAATGAATGAAGATGTTAAGTTATGCAATGCCCGTGAAAGGGCTAAAACGGCGCTGAAACTAGAGAAATGCATTAAGAAGAAGTTGTTTGGGGAATAAAAGAAAACTCTGTTTGGTTTGTACAGGAAGCATAGCTTTGAAGGAATGATCTGTTGTGTTTTCTTGTGCTTTTCAAGGGCTTCCTCTTTTAACTTGAAATCATATATTTATCTTCGGACATGAATGTGTTGTCTTGTTACGTTTGATATATGGTACAGAGTTATATTATTTCTAGTCAGAAACCTTGATATCAGGTTTGCAGTGTTCTGATGGTTAAGCTCTTAACTGATACTTGCTTGGATAAAAAGATTAAGGCCCTGTTTGGATGGACCGTAAATGTTTTCAATTCCAGCTTTTCTGGATGGACCACTAAACACTATTAATTCTAGTTTTTTAACTCAAATATGTGGAAACTATTACTCCACACATTTGACTATGTCGATTTTTGAACTAGGCATCTAAATCTGTTTAACCTCGCAACAAAGAACCTTGTTTTGGTTTCAGTTGCATTTGATGCTAGTCAGACTACATCTGCTGATGAATCAATTTCGCGATAAAAATTATTGGATGCTATGGCAAATAGTGACTAGGCTATCTTCTGTGTATATTTACATGCCAATGTGGATCAATTGACTAGTGTCTTAGACCCGTTGGCTCTTCATGTATGGTTACAAACTACAAACTCTTTCTTGGCAATGTCAGACACTTCAATGGAAGCATTCAGCTATTTCATCATATCTGAAAATAATCAGTTCTATATCAGAACATATTAATAAGGTTTCCTGATCATTTAAACTGTTGGAATGAGTGACAAGCACCTGCCTCCTCGAATTGTCAAAACTTCCACTAGAAGCATCTAGAAAGTGTACAGATACTGTCATGTAAGCAGTTTGTTGGGCTGTTGTGTTGAACACCTTAAGGATTTTTAACCAAATCAATGACAATTGCTCATATCAGCTTCACTAAGAGATACATAGCTTTATTAAGATTTCAAATTTTCAAGATGCTGCACAAATACATTTCTCTTGTTTGAGTTCCTCTTGGTTCCTCTTAATATTGCCTTTTATAGTCTTTTTAGGTCATTATCATCATCCTGTCATTGAATCACCCGATGCAGTTGTTAGGCCTTTGGCCCTGTATCTGTAAATAAGCGGCCCCTAAAATGTGCTAAGATTATAATTTCAAGCTTTCTAGCAGAAAAATCGTGGGATATTTCCATTATTCAACAGTAAGGAGCACCTTCCTTATCAATGGATTTCCAAATTCATGTTCCAGAAGATCCAATGTTTGTGTTCTGAAATTTGATCCAGTGAATGTTGATGTTCTTGGCACATGGGACGAATATATGAAACTAGAGTTGACTTCTATTGGAGAGTTTATTCCACTTGCAATCCTAATTAATGGGTTAAGTTTGGTTGTTTGGGATTTTTAGCTTATCTGGACTTGTTTGGTAACCTATCAATTGGTCCTTATTTGGCATACTCAGAGCACCACCCGAGTTAAATGGAGTTCTGATATGGCTTCTTAGGTGCCTTAAAATCTCAGCTATTTCTTTATTTGATTGTTGATTGGAATAGAATTTATGGTTTGTGTTAACTACAGTTGTTTCCATTGCATGATTTTCAAGTGACCTCTGAAGATGATTTGAAGTTCAACAGGATAAGGATTACGTAGTCAAGTCAACAAAACCTTGGCCTTCATAGCAAGAATTTACTACATATCCAATTTACTTGGCATTCATTAGCGACTACAATTTTGATGTGAAGAAACCCTTTTCCTACTGGGGTTTCTTGAATGAGGCATATATGCAACTACCGTTAGAATTCCTATGAGTAAATCTTGCTCTCTTCCTTGAAAAGCTCCGTATGGTCTTAGATTAGCTTGGTTCTACAAACACATAGGGTAGGATTTATGCCTTTCTGATTCGTGTTGATGGCATAACTCTTACGAGCAATAATGCTACTATCTATATCTCCTTTTTTGGGAATGTTAACTTTGTAGTGAAAATGGAAAAGTGTACAAAAATTACAAAATATCACCCCCGAAAGATCGGGGGCTATATACATCCAAAAACTAAGGCTCCCCTTAAGGGAGCCCTGTACAAAATCTCATAGGGTCTAAAAGGAGAGATACAGAATACTCCACCAATCTGAAATGGTGATTGAGACTGCAAAAAATTACTGTCACTAGAGCATTAGCACCTTCATTGGCGAGTGAATCTTCATGTGAATTACATTCACGCCAAACATGTTTCCAATATATTGAGAGGCCTGAGCAGTGGTGGGCAATTTATTTTAAGATATATGCTAGAAACCAGGGATAGGGGGCAGAGGCAGAGGCTCATCGGATTGCATTGCTTGAGTCGCCTTTGATAATGAAAGTAAAGGACCAAGTGTGGTCTAAGAGTCTTAGGCCTTTGAGCAGTGCAAGGGTTTCAGCCGATTGGGAGTCAAAAGTGTCTGATACGTTTGGAGTAGGAAAGGAGGATTTGACCTTTATGGTTCCTCAAAAGGCCACCAATACCGGCCGGCCCGGGGTGCCTAGGGAGCAACGGTCAAAATTCAGCTTGATGGCACCGGGGTCAGGGGGATTCGAGCTAGAGGCACGAGGGACCCCAGGCCGCGATAGGTGTAAAAGGGGTAGCCAATCTTCGTGGAAGGACGAATAGTGGATTCCCTTGAAGATATTATGGTTAGAAGCCCAAAAGTCACCAGTGATTTGATCTTATCAAACAAACCATCGGTTGTTGAGTACTGGCCTTGGAATATCCTGTGATTGCTCTCATTTCACACTGTCCATAAGAGCGTGAAGTGGATGCCTTCCAGAGGAGAATACCTGGTTTAGCCCAAGGGTAAGGGTGAAGAGAGGAGAAAAGCCCGGGTATAGATTTGGGGGTAACCCATTGCCAATGGAATGGGCGGAGTGGGAGACTTTAGAGAAGGGAGGCGATAGGATATTGGATGAATAAATGATCGTTGGTTTCCTCGGCTTTGAAACACATAATGCCCGGTTGGGTACGTCTAACCCTCTCCTCTGTAATGGGTCTACAACGAGGACCCTTTGGTGGAGGCCAATCCAATTGAAAAATTGGATCTTAGGGGGAGCAAGAGCAAACCAAGCTTTGGCAGTAACAGATGTGGGGTTCAAGGGGAAAGTGGGGATGAAGGTGGTATCCAAGAGTGCTGAGAGGTCAAGGAATTCTGGAAGTTCGTTGTCTGAAGGAGGCCTCCTAAAGATAGGATCCTTGGATGTTGAAGAGTTCAGCAACAGTTTCCTGCCAATTGACGGTTAACAGGAAAAGGAAGCCGAAAAGATTCATAAGATGAGAGGGTCCTAGCCACGGATCCAACCAGAATTTGGTATGAGTACCATCTAGGATACGGGTATTCTGTTTGAACACATTGAGGGTGGTAAGGAGAGTCCGCGACACACCTGAAGCTCTGCTATTTGCTCTGGAAGAAGGTAGCCAGGAAGTGGACTGAGTGGTATTTTGCAGCAGTACCTGCTGCCAAAGGTGGTTAGATTGGGTGGCATCCATTTCCCAACAGGGAAGTGTTGTTAATTTTGAGCTTTTGGATGCCGAGTCTGCCAAGGTGGCGAGCTGAACATACTTTCTCCCAAGCAATGAGGTGAATTATGTGCTTCTTTCCTTCTCCTTCCCAAAGGAAGTTCTTCATAAGCTGGTTCAGGCCGGTTATTACTGCTGCCGGCATCTTGACAAGGGACATTTGGTATATTGGGGATACTAGATAGAGTAGCTTTGATTAGAGTAGCTCTACTGGCCAGGGCGAGAAATCGACCTTTCCGAGCACCAAGTCTGCGTTCGAATTTATCGATGATGTGTGCCCAAGAGCTAAGCTTAGGTTTGCCAATGGATAATGGGAGACCAAGGTATGTAGAGGGAAGGAAAGATTGAATTGATTGGGGATTAAGAGCCACCCTGATCATCTTCGACTTACCCATGTGAAGCAGGGAAGAAAATAATAACCAGAGTAATAAAAATAAAAAAATAAAAAGGGTTGAGGGATTATACCGTCTCTTGGGGTTTGCAAGGGAGTCCATCCCAAAGGTCTTTTCACAAGACCTAAATTCTTTACTCAATTCCAATCTTTGTTTACAAGGAAGAGACATTTCCCCTTTAAATACAACTGAAATAATAAAAACATTAAAAATACATTTATCTCTCACCTACGATTTTCCTTTATCTCCTTTTTCCATCACGTGAACCTTTCTCTCTCTCATATGTGATGCTCATGAATCAAGGAGGTTCACGTACTATCTCTTTACATATCCTAACCAACTCTTTCATATGTGAAACCCGTGAATCAAGGCTCCTCAGATCGTGGTTCATCACAATGTGATCGTCACATTCAGGATCGGTACCCCTAGTTAGTAGTGGGCCTCAATTAATCTCTACGACGAAATCTGGTGTCAGATCTTCATGGTTGCGAGTACCCTGTTCTCGAATAGTAGTATTCTCTAACCGTTGCAACCTTTGTTTAATTTCGCTTGTCTCCTCATGGTCTTCTTAATTTGTTGACCCACAAACTCCATGATTTGCGATAATATATCCTCGAATATAAGATTGGATTTGGCGGCATTGCGATTGATGGATCTTACTTGCTCTGATACCAACTGATGCAAGGAAGA